CCATCTCTTCTTCTCTAATCTCTTTCTCTGCACACTCTCCTGGATCTCCTCATTCCACCACTAGGTCTCTTTGTCCTCCTTTCTCTGCCCAGAGGACATACCTAGCACCTTCCTACCTGTCTCCCTCATCACTGCAGCTGTAGTCTCCCAATCATCTGGGAATATCTCAACACTACCCAGAACTGCCCTTACTTCCTTCCTGAAGTCTTCACAACATGTCTCTTTCCTTAGTTTCCACCACTTGATCTTCTGCTCTGTCTTCACTCTCTTCCTTTTTGTCACCTCCATCGTCATTTTACACACTACCATCCGATGTTGTTTGGCTACACTCTCACCTGCCACCACCTTACAGTCTCTAATCTCCCTCAGATTACATCTTCTACATAGAATATAATCTATCTGTGTGGACCTGCCTCCACTCTTGTAAGTCACCCTATGTTCCTCTTTCTTTTGGAAATATGTGTTTACCACAGCCATTTCCATTCTCTTTGCAAAATCTACCACTGCCTGTCCTTCTACGTTTCTCTCCCTAACACCAAACCTGCCTATCACTTCCTCATCTCCTCTGTTCCCTTCCCCTACATGACCATTAAGGTCTGCTCCAATCACCACTCTCTCTCTCCTGGGGATACTCTCTACCATCCAACCCAGCTCCTTCCAGAACTTCTCCTTTTCTTCTAACTCACAGCCGACCTATGGGGCATAACCACTAACAACATTAATCATCACTCCTTCTATTTCTACCTTCACACACATCAACCTGTCTGACTCTCGTTTCACCTCCACTACATTTCTTGCATATTCTTCTTTAGGATCACCTCCTGGGCAAGATGAAATCCTGGTTAGGGCGGTTGGTACCTTCCAGTGGACTCACTACCCGCAGGAAGGTTCAGGGGGGTTGGCACGGTGCAATGTGATTTGTGTGGCAGTCATAGAGACTGCTGCCCCGTGACCCGGTAATGGATAAGTGTACGAAAATGGATGGATGGATGAATAACTGTATGTTACAACACATTAGCCCCACACAAGAATTTCTGTGTATGAACTATGTGGTATTGCACATGTCCAATAAAAAGCATGAGAGTCCTGCATTGGCCTTCAAACAATGAAGTAATCTCCATGTAACTGGTGCACTGCAGGTTGCATTGATGAAACGTGTTTTATTTTTTTAAATTCTGCAATACTCCTGCTGTCCCACAAGGTGGAGGTAACAGTTCACCTTTCTTTAAATGTTGCTTTTGCTCTGATAACAGAGCAATGAACCAACCAATAATCTACATCAACCTTAAAACGTAGCAAATACGTAATATGTATAATTTTGATACATAAAGTAAAATAGTCTTAGATAATCAAAAATACTTTGGAAGAAAAATGCACAAAAATTATGAGGGCTTCTTAAACTATGGGCTGTAGGTGCCTAGTGGTTGTCGGAGGGATTGCAAGTTGATCACTGTGACTGAGACTGTGTTATACAGCAGTGGTTCTCAAATTGTGGTACACGTACCACCAGTGGGAAAAATCATATTTTCACATTTACATTTTCAGTTGAATAAATCTGAAACATACCACAATGCACAATTAATACAACATTTAGAAAAAATGTGTAGCTACTTGTGCGATTATGAAATAGGATGTCTGGTCTTTTTAATTATTTACTTTATTTATTTTTTTGCTGCAATACAAGTCTGTTGCTCACATAAGCACAGGCATCATAGGATCACTTGCAAGTTGAACGTGGAACGAGCAGGGGAATTCTAATGTTGGTCATTATGGTGGTACTCAGAGAGATCAATGAGTATAAAAAGTTTGAGAACCACTGTTATACAGCATTAGTCAAAAGTACTAAAGCACACGATATCATTTTAAAATATGTCAATTTTAATTTAAATGTTGCGGTAACATATAGCATATATAACATATATTGTGTTTGTATATATATATATATATATATATATATATATATAGCTTGTTGTCATTCTACTGATGGAAGCACAGCTTTTAGAAATGTTTGGTCAATGCACAATAAATACAATAAATACAAAAACAATCAGTAGATCTTTATATATTTATTAATTCAATTTTAAATTTCAAGTCTTTCATCTTTTTGACCAAACCTTGTTTATATGACTAATTGTATCATGCACCTTAACTTCTGGTGCATATATTCGAAATACTCATCTGACTGTGGTGAGAGCTTTCTTTATCCTTTGTACCCATCTGTGTCATAACCATGTCTACACTGACCGGTCATATATGTATATCTAACATCAGTGCTCTGAGGTCTTTTCTTTTCGTTGTAAAGATAAGCTCTATAACAGGGTCCTTTCTTTTAACCTGTATCTGACCAAGTGGTAATGTGGTAAATGTTTGTCTAGCAGGGATTGAGTATTAGAGTACAAAAGGGCAAAGGAGAGGAATCTCTGGATCTGAGTTTAGACACATCATAAAAACACCAACTTGAACACTGCAGACATTCATTCACTTGCTGCTGACCAGTGTCAATATGACTGCTGCTGGAACAAACCCTGACACTGCTTTCTCTTTGGACTCCTATCATGTGTCTGAAGAGCTTGGCTTCATCCTTCCTCAACCTTTGGTAGGTTAAATGGATCACTTTAACCTTACACCATTTTTTAGTTATATATATATATATATATATATATATATATAAAACAAAGAAATGCTGTCAAAACTAAAATATCATTATCAACTAATATTATAAAGTTTGGTTGCAGATTAATCAATGGGATTTTTCTAATCTATGCAATATAGACCGTTTTACCTACTTTGCCCCTACCTTTTCATCACCCAGAGCCAGGTTACATAATAATAATGTTTGTACAAAGTCACAAGTTAAACTTTAAGTCAAACTTAAAGTCTTTTAAAGTTCACTATTATAGCTTGATTTATGGACATAAAAGATTATGTTTTTGCAACTTAGTCATTCCGACCAGAAGATTGTCATAAAATAAAATAAAATAAAATAAAATAATTTTACATTAATTATGTTAATAGAAAGAGCTTCCACCTTACTATCAACCATGGATGGACATCGCTTTGCGAGTCCCAGAGCTCCTGGAGGCTCACCAGCTGCGGGATCACATAAACAAAGCAAGTAGAAGGAACATCTTGACAACAATGTTTAGTACATATATGTTTGTGGAGCAGGGCTTAAGTGCTTCCTAGTTTCTGTGTTCAGATGCCACTGCTATGTAGCAGCTTTCTGCAGAAACACCGAGAGTTGAGGTTAGCACACCTGGCCCTGGGGGTGATGACCATGGGCTACGTTTGGCAGGAAGGAGAGAAAGACACAGTTGAGGTAAGTTCATCAGAGGAAGCTGCTACAAATTTCTGTTACAAAATCAAATGTACTAAAGTAATATTCAATCGCACAATAAACCCTAAAGATACTCCCACGGAACCTGGCTGTTCCGTACTGGGAGGTATCGCAATTATTGGGACTTCCACCTATTCTCACACACGCTGATGCAGCATTGGCCAACTGGAAGAAAAAAGATCCTGAAGGGTGAGATTATGTAAAGTTGTACCTAAAATAATTTAGAAACATTTATTTTTTCTACATATTTAAGGATTTACATAAAAACACGTACAAATCTCTTTTATGTGGCAACTTTCCTGCTCCAGGCCTTTTGATATGAAGTAAGTCTGCTTTCATTCCTATTCAATTACTAGAAATATACAGTAAAACACTCAGATAAATGCAGAAAGATGTTGTTTTACTTGTATTTCGAAGCAACCTGGAGCTTCTCCTCACCCTCCCAGGTGACGACAGCATTCAGGGTTTCTTCTTGGTGACCCTGCTGGTGGAGCTCGCAGCAGTTCCTGCTCTAAGGGTAAAAACAAACAAATAAGTTAGAATAAGTTGTGATGGCACAATTTTTTGGTCATTCTGTTTACATTTAACTAAAACCTGTGACAAAGTCTAAAGTCCTAGTTCTCTGGAGGCCATTGATCTGTGTGCAGTGCTCTATCAGGTTTACTTAGTCTTTACTATTAGAGAATGTGCAGTTGCGTTTGTTGTGGTGGTTAAATATTAACACATTCCAAAAAAGTATATTCCCACAAAAAGTCAGTTTGTGAAATGATACTGCATTTCGATTATTACTGGTCAATGCATTTATAGAAATTCTATATTATATATCTCATGTCAAAATTGTACAATAATATATACTTGGTTGGCACCTGAAACAAATAATGTGTTTTTTAGGGTGATTGATTGATTTTACTATGGAGGTAAAATCTTACACTTCGCACTATAATCAAACTCTGATTATAGAAAAAAATCAACTCTGCATTGATTATAAATATTGTTGGTTCTTGAATGCAACAACTTTAATGATTGGTACATTATCCATGCAGTACTACTTCTGAATGCTGCATCACTCTGAGGCCCAATCAAAATGCTCTCATTGGTTAACCCTCATGATGTCATCAGTCCTAAGCCAGTAACAATCAACACTCAACCATGGTTTGTCTGCATGTCTGTATTCAAAGTCAGTAAACAACAGACTTCCAAAATTATTTTAATATTATTAAAAACCATGTTCACCACAACACCATTACACAGCCTGCACCATTCTTTTATAGCAATTTTAAACAATTGCCTATGTTATTTTCCTCTGGCCTCAATGTGAGAAACTGATGATAATTTCAACATTCATAATTTCAACTGACTTGGTCATTTTCAGACCTCTAGACTCTGTTTTTAGCTTGGTTTTAGCTAGAAATATCCAGAAAATTTCACTAAGACTTTTTATCTGGACTTCTGGTGTAGAACATTCCTACAGTAATTAAGAGTGTAAGGAGCGGGGACTGTGAGGCTCTGGCCAGAGCCCTGGAGGTCATCAGCCAGTCGCTGCAGGACATGACAGATGCACTAAAGCTAATTCATGGTAGTCACTCACATATTCAGTGGACAGTGGGTGTGTTGGCATTTGCCCAAATGCAGTAAAACTTTTGTCTTGACCTCTTGAATTTGTTTTTCAAGATTACGTGAATCCTTCTGTCTTCTATGGCACCATCAGGATCTACCTGTCTGGGTATACAGCTTCTTTTCTTTTGTTGTTCTTGTGGCATAGCTAATATATACCTCATATAAATGGCCTAATTATAAAACTTGGTCTTGTTTATGTCACATTGCAGTTGGAAAGACAACCCTATCATGCCCAACGGTTTGATTTATGAAGGTGTCCAGACAGCAGCCATGGAGTTTTCTGGGGGAAGCGCTGCACAGAGCAGTTTGCTTCACTGCTTTGATGAACTTCTGGGAGTTCGTCATGTCAAAAGCAGTGGTATGATGGATGTTTTATTTGCTCTAAATCAATATGTCAAACCAGAGGTTGAACATGAATAAACTTGAATAAACTGACTTTAGTAAAATTGTAATTTCAGGTAGATTTCTAACCCGTATGAGAAACTATATGCCTCCTGTTCACAAGGAGCTTATCCAGGATATTTCCATGCAGCCATCGCTCAGGGATTTTGTCCAGCAACAGGCCTGCGAGAAGCTAAGTCTTGCTTTTCACCACTGTGTCACAAAACTATTACATTTTCGCAGCTACCACATCAATGTTGTCAGCCGCTTCATCACCGTGCCTTCTGCCCGTGCCCGACAACTCCGTGAGCAGAGGCCGGATGGCAAGTCGAATATTAGCAAAGCGCCCATTGGACTGGAGGAGAGGGGCACCGGAGGATCAAGTGTCATTAGCTTTCTTAAAACTGTTAGAGATCAAACAAAAAGCGTCTTCCTTCTGCCTACGCCGAGCAGAGACAAGTCCAAAACCAACCTCCAGCATTAAGGACACACACATCACAGAGTTTTGTTTGTGGAATTGCAGTTGGTAACAAGCAGAAATAAAGTGGTCCTGCATATGAGTTTTCTTCCCTTTTTTTGGCGTATTTTAGTTTATGTTTTTGTAATTAACCTAGGGTGTGAAAACGCAGTTACATTCAATCGTTTGCATCAATTGCTTTCATTTTATCCATCAGTGATCGTTCTAACATTAACCTTTGATGATATGAAAGCGTTCATTAGGATCACTTTCCAGAAACACAGGGAGATTGAAAGAGAAGGATCAGATGCAAAATAAGCAGCAGATCCTGGCAGTCCAGGATCAGGGCCGAAATATCCAGCAGCTCAGCAGAAACAAGCCTATTGGGGTGAAGAAAGGACCCATCCAAGTTCTGCTGAATTTTGCATTAATTTATTGAAACATCAGATTCATCTAAGACGACATGTATGATCTCTTGGCCTGCTTTCAAACTTTTGCTCTGATCAAGTCATGCCGCTTTAATAGACATTGTGAGCAGTTAAGAAAATAATTGTTTGTATTACAAAAAATATATTATAGTTTCTGAATTTTTTTTACTGTTACTTAATAAAAACCTTTTTTCTACCTGTCCTGATCTATTGGTTAAAGGTCAAACATGATATTTTATTACAGTAGAAAAGGCATATTAACCAACAAAGTGCAAATGTGCAAATGAGAAACACCAGAAAGAGTGATGGGAGGAAGATACATTGTTTTATAATGCAAGTCTGCTGCAGCGTCTCACTGGAGTTGCTCTTTTATTGCATTCTTCTTTTTGACTGTAGGATGTGGCTAATTATTACAGAATCAATCATAAACAGAAGCATCCAGCATTGTATTATTATTATATTATTTATTATTTTATTTATAAATCTCCTTAAGAGACACAAACGTTACCTAAATCCAAATATAGACTGCACTCAAACCTCTCTTGTTGTCTAAGGAATTCAAACACACATTATTGCTCCCAGCAAAAAGTGAACCCAAAATGGCTGATCTCAAACTTCCAGAATCATGTACCAAGGTATTAAGACTGGTTCCAGGACCACATACTAATATATGAGAAACTTCAGTTAACCAGTGTTCTTCACGCTGGTCTCCTGGAGAAAGTCATTCTATGATCGTTGTATGATCCTTTATCATCTACCTAAAAGGCAAAACATTCATAAAAATGAAAAAATAAAAAACGTTTTTTTACAAAAATGAACAATTGGATAAAGATAAATAACAAGGAAACATAATCTGCATTAAAACATTATATTCATGTAAGGTTTTTATATCAAAACCATTTCTGTTTATTCCTTGTGTCAAAATATAAAAATATCCTAGATCTGCACCCTCATACAAATAAAGTACAGTACTATTAAAACCACTACACTTTAACAAAGCATGCAAAATTCTGACCAAGAGGACATTTCACCTTACTGTTTTCTTCTAACATGACGGAACAATGTATCACCTTTTGCATTCACTGATGGGTGATGAAAATTCTCACCAAGCCAAAATCTTTCTCACAGTGTTAACACGTTGGAACCTGACGTTCATGGAAAAATAAATAGTACTCCTTTGTAGCTTCTCTAAGTCTTGAGTGCTGCTTCACAATGGGGTTTTCATGTCAGGGCACAAAGCACAATGTAGTGCAGAGATGCATTACTTATTAAGAGGGGTTACCTCAGCTGTCCTGCCATCCTCCTTCAGCCCATATCCAGCCATCACATGCCCCATATGCTACACCTTCTGGATTAAGATTGTGGAAACTCGGCAGCCATGAAGAGATGGATTGTGTCATGAATGACTCACTCTGTGTCATGTTCACCTTTGCTGCTGAACTCCACTGGTGTTTCATTACAAAAACAAACCTTAGATTGATCAGATAAGACAGATGATGTGGCAATTAGGCCCGACAATTTGCTCCGAAACTGAACAATTGACCTTATCTTGTAATCACACACTGTAGAGCAGAAAACTGGGGAAGAGCAGAAAAATAATTCCAGATTTTTCTTTAGGATTAGCTATTTCATATACTTGACTAAACAATAAATGGTGGAATTAGAATTACAGGAGACCCAAGGTGACCAGGTTGAGGTGAGCTGATACTGCGTACGGATGCACGACATTGGGTGACGTGGTGGACCAGCACAAACACAAGGCGGTGATCTGATTAGAGCACCCTTTCACAGCCAAAGAAAATAATCCCCTTCCTTATTGCCTGACTCCCTGACAACCTGGGCAGTAAACAAAGGCCGTCTCTAAGGATGTCTTCATTGTGTGGTCGAAGATTTTTAGCATGGTGTATCACAACAGTGGCTGGTTTCAGTGCAGGTCTTATTGTCTGCAGGCTAATTCATGGGTCCACCCACAGTGAATGACTGTTGAATTATTATTATTATTATTTCATAAGATTTATATGCAGACGAAAGAAAAAAAAATTGGAATAAGAAAAACATCTTATGTTACATACAGAATTATATTGTCTTTATTTAGTGCATCCTGCAAATAGTGAGTTAGATTCAATTAAGCAGCTTTTGTTTTTATTTACTGACTTAATAGCTACAGTAAGGGATTTTGGATTAGTGTTGACATAATGGTACTGAGAACATCACTGTATACAGAAGATCATTGTGGTTGCTCACACTACAACTTCAGAGACATCCAAAACAGTTCACAGCTCAATAAAGTCTTGGTTCACTATCACTATAGATGTGTCTCTCAGTGATGTAGTGAATCCAGCTTCTGACGGCATTGATCACGTGGCTGTGACCAAACAAATCCAGGCTGGACACGGTGCTTCTGAAGCATGTTATGGTTTTTTTACTCATGTGTTGGATCTTCATCACTCCCTGAGTTTGTTTCTTCCAGCTTCTGGTATTTCTAGTGTTCCCTGTGTGTCCTGGTGGCAGTCACTGCTCAGCTCTGTTCTGTTTACTCTTCATAAATAAACTTATCCTGTATTTGGGCACTGTCTTTAAATCCTATGTGACAGTTAAAAAAGTTTTAATTATCTGGCAGTTCATCTAAAAATTAAAATCTGATTTTGTTTTGGACAAACCTAAAATGACGGTCAAGTAACTGTGTGCATGTTTTGTCCGATAAAATACTGAATAGCCTTTATTAATGTATACCAAAAATATCATCTACAAACATAATTAATGAAATAAGTGTGTGAATTTGACATAACATTAATACCATAATGTTGAATATTGCATGTGGGGCAAAGGTCACCTGGAGTCTATTTTCTTAACAAATTGACTGGAACATCCATATTCCATTTATCAGAGGCATCAGGATCACAGGCGTGAGTTCTGCTGTCAGAGAGACCATCGGATGTCTGTGCCTTGCTGGTTAACCACAGGATATCCTGGATTCTGTTCTTTCAAAGTGAATTTATGATGCAACAATTCACCTAGAGCCAAGCAAAGCTGAGACGTTTTCTCACCCTGTGAATGAACAGTTCCAATGTCGATGACCAGGCCACGATTTTGTTTGGCATGGACATGGCAGGCGTAGCTGGGAATTCTGGGCTGGGTGTAGAAACATTAGGTGATGCAGAATTGTTTTTTTTTTTTCTTCTCTTTTTCAGCTCATCTTGAATCGACTATCTACATCAAACATCTGTCCATACACCCAGAGGTAATTCAGGTCTTCGTACACTCAATCAATCACACATGTCCCAACACTCATTTATATTACAGCCGACGTCTGCTCATGTAATATTATTATTTCCTCAATATGTTTTTATTTTTTGCCCAGATTGTCAATCATGACATGAAATCTGTTCTTCAATAAATACACTTCCAAAAGAATTAATAAAATAAATGACAACACATTTACATGTTATAATAACATGAGTACATGAGAGACATAGAAACATGCATATTCATATCCAGAGCCAATGTAGAATCATCATTTATGTTAACTAGTAATTTCACTATCCTTTTAAACAAAAGGTGAACATTTGATATCTTTGCATGATTTATTTCATGTCAAGGTGTGAGAGAAAGTGTAAGAATTTTTTACGCTGTGCATTATTTAATCTGCAGTAAGTCTCCCTTTTCACTTTGCTTAATTTAGTTTTACGTTCAAAGTTTGAATATAATATATTTTTTAAGGCCGTTTTTAGAAAGGTATCATTTAAAAAAGAAAGAAACAAAAGCCAAGTATTTTCCTCTTCACTGTTAACAGTTGCCACCACCGCTGTGTTGCAGTGATTTCTGCAAGTGTGTAACATTAATAGGTCTCATCTCATTTAATCTGATCTGATCAACATTAGAACAAGTAATTAGATTCAGTCTACACTGGTGTTCATCTGTTCTTCTGAACCTCAGATATAACCAGCAGACCTTTACTGGTAATAACTGTCACTTTTAATTTGCATGACTATGGTACAGTTTAGGATCCATGAACCAAATGATGAACCACCCAGATATGTGAAAATTCTAGTGAAAGAAAATAATGATTTGGATTTTTTTTTATGTAAACTTTTAAACAAGCTTTTTTAAACAAGCTTTTAGATTGACACAAATCTGACAAAGATGATGAAGAACCTGAAAAACCTCAGGGCTCAGGGTGTTTATTGTACAACGTCTGCTGCCTTTTCTCTGCTGCTGCTTACTGGAAAACACCAATGTTTTGCCAGGAACTTGAGCCCACACTAAATGGTTTTCTGTGCGAAAGCAACAACTGCGAGATCCTTGGTCACACCTCCTGTGACGACCGGTTACAAATTACCACCGTCAATCTGGTCCTCCACCCACCTCTCCAAGTCTTTAAACATTTTCTCACATCGACGTACTCAGGTGCGGGACATTTTGTGGCCTGTTACAGCAGGTTAGAGACTCCTGATGTAGTCATTCTTGCAGCAGCATTATCACTTCCTCCCAGCTGAGCCGACTGAAACACTGAGCCACATGAAAAGAGGGGAAGACAGGCCACTTTGTTCGCTGCCAGCTTCAAATGTTGCTTTTACAGGTGTAGCGTTACTGTTATTGCCAATGCTAATGATCAATGTGACGTCACAGGTTTTACAGGAAAGCACTCGTCATGTCACTGCCTTTCTTCTTCCAG